AGAAGCTGTTATAGACATATTTATTAATTTTTTCATTTCATTTCACAGTCATATTATTTGTTTCGCCAAACCATAGCAGGTCGTGATAATACAGAATTTCAATTAGATATAGGGTGAAAAGTAAGTATGAATTGATTTAACAAACGAAAGAAAACGTACAATACAAAATTAAAGCACTTACATGTAAGTTAAAATACATTGTATATACTAAGAAGGAGACGAGAGACGCACGTCTCCTTAAAGTTACGTATAACAAAAAAATTGTAATTTCTAATAAAAAAATTAATTATTCCTCGGTCAAATAACGTTTAAGTTTTACTGTTTGACTCTTTAGGAGTTTTATTTGTTTTCTTAAGGAAGTCCTGCCTATTGTTCTAAGATTCAAATACTGGGTTCGATGGAAGTTCAACGTAGCAGTCGGGAAAAAAGCAGGGACCGAAAACTGCATTTCTTGCAAATTTTCCTTGGCCACTAGTTTTTTGTTTGTTTCTTCCACTTTCTAGCTACTTTCTTGGCAGCATTATCTGCCCCTGAGTAAGCTATTGAGGAGCAATCTGCTCGTAGGATCTGTAGCTCTTCTTGGTCTTTCCTGAAGGCAAAAACGTAAATGAACTTCGCTGAAATTGATGTATCGACCAATTTCAGTGATAACCGAAACTTAAGATTTCTCCATCTGTTTTACATAACATCTTACGTAGTTTCTTCAACTGCCTCGATCTCGGATTTTTTAACGGCAGTATCTGCCCCTGAGTGTCTCAAGTGTATCCTTGATCTTAAAATAAAATCGCAAATGAACCACCAATTTCATTGATCACCGTTATCTAAGTTTTCCTCAACTGCTTTACATAACCTTTTTCGCACTATCTTCGAAACTGCTTCCCGGATTTCCCGATTACGCCAAAAATACAAGAATGGATTTATAGCGGAGTTCATGAATGTAATAGTGTCGGTAAAATACCATCTGTTGTTCCAATGTTCTTTATAAGTCACCCAAATTAGGGCGGAGACAGCCGCTGGAAAATAACAAAGAAGCATACAAATGTAATATATAAATGTGTTTAGAGCACGTTTCTTCGCTTGTACCTTGAGATTTTGTTCCGCGTTCATACTTTGTACGGCTTGCTGTTGGGCATGAATCTGATGTTGATGGTGTCAAATGATTCGATAAATTGCACTGTAAGTTATTGAAGAAATGAAAAGACATAAGGCAACAAAGACAACTGCAACAAGAAGAATAGTATTTTTCTTCCAAATGCTAATCAGTGATAAAATGACGTTTTTACACCAAAATGTTGCTGCTACGTACGTTGCACGTTTAGAGGTCATCAAATTTGGATATCGCATGTGATATCGTAGGGCCAAATATCGATCCACGCTAATGGCTGTCATTGTTTCAAGGGAAACACCGCAGAGTTGAATATTGAGGAAGATCCTTGCTTGTGACAGACATGAGAGATAACCGTCACGAGAAAGCGGTATAAGGGCGATGGCAATGTTAACTGGAAGAACAAGAAACCGAACGAAAAGATCAGAAACAGCAAGACTGCACAGCAAAATGGTAGACGGAGTGTGTAGGGATGGATTTCTCCATATGGCGGCTAGTACCAAAACATTGCCAGCGATGCATATTGGTATCAGTAGAGCATTGAGGACACTATTCAGTATGATTACAGGGGTTTCGAAAGGTGAGGATTCTTCGTCACTCTCCAACCCACCAGACATGATATCAACAGTAGAGTTTGCCATCTCAAATTTTTCAATTTTGTCCCCTGTTTCTCTTCAAAAAGAAACTGCATATTATTTTTTATACTCTTTCACCTGGCATCTTATTAAAATTACAACCACCTTACCAGTATTTAATTCTTTAACTTATGTCTAATAGGGCTTTTTATTTAGGAAAAGTTATACTTGATCATCTTTTAAAATGGAATTAATGATGAACGGTACCAATTAAGTCAGTGCCCATTTTCTAATTGACCCCATTTCACCAGATAGGTGTGAACCCCACTTTGCCAAACTTGCAAATATATTACGCCGATCAAATAAAGCTAAATAATAAATTGCTTTATTCCCGTCACTTCGATTCCGTAAACAGAAAGGACATAAAATTAAAAGAAAAGCTTCTTCTTTTCCCACTCCTATAATTCTCCCCTGCATTTCGACCATACTAGTGACAAAGAAGACCAGAGCGACCAACAAGGAAGCAGGCCTGACACTATGTGGAATAAATTAGTTTAGCAATGACATCAATTCAACATAACCCAAATAACCCCACACAGCAGGAAAGTATTGGAAGACAGCTGCTTCAGTCATTCATCCCTGTTTATTTGGCCTTTTCTTTTCGTATTTTTTGGGTGGCAAGATAAAATTGTAAATCCTACTTTTACAAACAGCAAGTCCGGCTGTTCTTGACGTTGTACTTATACCGATCTTGAATAGTTTCTTCACTGTTAGGTTTATATGTTTATATGTGAACGTTTTCTCTCTCTCTGTAAGACCTGAGTCGTGGCGTGCCTGCACCATATTTCTTGTTCATCCTTTTTTCTCTGCTGCATTGGCCTTTTTAAGAACTTGGGGTGGGATCAAGCGTGAGGGGCAAACACACCATTTACATACAAATTTATTAAGGTCTTGACCCCATCAGTTGAAATGAGCATATTATACCAGAGCTCAACCTTTCATTCCTTACGTAAATATCATCGTGGGGATTTGTAATATAGTTCTTAATTTTAGTGAGTCTGTGAAAGAAATCCTTTGGTCATACCATTCAATTTAAACCTCTTAAGCATTACTTTTATTATAGTACTATATATTTAGTATGTAGTCCTTACTTTTGAGTATCTGGATGAAATCCTATGGTGATGCCATTCAAATGAAACCTCTTCCGCAGTACGTGGTATCATTTGTTTTTCAGTATATTTTAAAATTAAACGTGGGAAATTCATTAGATTTTTATGTTGGGCCTATTGGGGTGGATGAGTAAAATTTGGCAGGTAAAAGTTATGTTGTAAAAGGTTGATATTTATTTTATTCACTTTCTTCTTTCTAAGGTACTGCAACAGATGCAAGAAGCACAGACTAGCAGTGAAAAAGCTGGACATATGGAGTCTACCACCCATCTTAGTGAGGAACAGTACTGCTGATAAAGCACACTGTAAAAATCATTCGAAAAAGCAGTTATCTTGAAATCAAACCTGTACAATCATAGAAAAAAGTCCTTGGGACAGTGATGCAATATTCATATTTTTCTGTCATTCTGGTTTCCCTCATGAAACAGTGCTTCCTTTTCGAAATTTTCTTGCATTTCTCCCCCCCCCCCCCCCCCCCCCTTTAACCCCATACAAAGTTTAGACTCAGAAAAAATTTTGGATGCACGTGTCCAACATTGTTTTGTGGGGTGAGGGGAGAGGTTGGGCCTGTGTGAATTGGAAAACGCCCCAGAAATGCAAAAGTGTCCCAAGACTTTTGTCCATGAGTGTAGTTCTGTTTGGTTACAGTACAGTACCATACTGTACAATACACTGAGTTTCATTTCATAATGGGTCAAGAAATCTGGACTGTTATCCATGATTGTATTATTTTATAGTGTCAGTGGCAAAATTCAATATGTTACATACACCACACCTCTTTGCACTCTGTTACCGTGTTGGCCTCCACACTTGCCTTCCTGCTAGCTTAAAAAGTGTGTCTGGTTTCAGTAATGGTATTTTTGACGGGGATTGGACATCATTCCATCACCAAACCCCTAACCTGGAGAGCCAGGTGTTGTAATACTTTACGTTCACCTCGCCACCAATGAAATTGTTACCAAGAAGTCTACTCGCCACCACATAACAACTCTGCAATAATTTGCACTGTTTACTTACTGGGATTGTCACTTCTTCCTCAAGCCCAAATATAAGTCTATCAATTTTAATTGATACCTTGCGTCGAACTTCTCATCTTCAGTTTAATTTTTTGTGAAGAATTGCAACTTTTTTTAATACCTTAATACGGCTTATTTGCATCGCTCGAAAGGTGAGATTTGTTTAAAATCCAACAGCCTTTCTAATGAAAGTTGGTTAATATTGTCACTTGAACCGTACCTCCTTAAATTTCATTGTAAAATTATTAAAAGTGAAAGAATTCTTTTTAGAGACCTCGTCCTCGTGGCGAGATAGTTTGGTGGTAGGTGACCAGACTAGTACCATTGCAATTCGTCTGGTCTTTCACCCAAAACCTTCCCAGCACGGTTATACCTACCACCCACCAGGAACCAAGGCCCCAGCTGGCATAGCTTTCAGGGTCATCAAGGTACACAAACCTCCCCTCCATGCATGTTAAGGTGCAACGCTTAGGGAGGGTTTTATGCTATGTGCAAAACGGACGCAACAGTGGTGGCCAACAACTCCCAACACTGTTGGATGTTACATCTTGCACCTGTTTGCACACCCTGTTGCATGTTGTTGGGAGTTGTTGCGCAAAGTTTGAAACCGGTCAAACCTTAAGCTATGTGCAAATGGACGCAACAACTCCCAACAATGTTCTGTCTGTTTGCACGGGGCTTTACATTTAACACCGTTTCTATTCCACTGGCAGGTTATTCACTTGAAGCGATTTCAGTTAGTTAACAACCACTGGGTGAAGTCAAATAAGACTGTTCAGTTTCCCATGGAGGGCTTTGATCCTTCAGCATTCCTGGCTAAGCCGTCCAGTCAATGTCAGAAGCAGTGAGGAACTGGTGAACGAGGAGGAGACTGAGGAGAGGAAAGAAGCAACCACACAGTAGGGGAGTGAAGTGAGTAGAGACATTGCTCTGTCTGTCTGATGTGATAAAGTACTCTTAAGGGTAGTGTTGGGAATCAGCTGGGATCTTTCGTGATCAATCATCTGAAATAATCGGATTAACCCAACCAATTGATCATGGATTATAATCAGAGAAATCTCTTTATAACAATTCCATTTATTTTTTATCCTTACTGGCTTATAAGTGTTTGTGTGTTGGTGCCTATGAGGGATGTGCTATGCAATTTTTGACCTTCACAAAAATGTGGTTTTTCTGTCCCCAACCCCCTGCCTTAATAAAGCTTTCTTAAAGACCTTTTGCCACTCCATCTATATGCTGATTACTCAGTATAGGAGATCTTGAGATGTTCTTGTTAGCCTGTATACACCACCAACCCCCCGCCTTCCCTCAAAACAATCAGGGAGAGAGTCCCCCTCTGATTTTTTTTAGGGAAAGGCGCGGCTGTACATTGGCCATGCCTTGTTGGAAGTAAGGAGTACGTGATGTGTCCACTACTCTGATTCTCCATTGGGTATTGTCATGTGATCTCAAAAGGAACAGCCAAACAACAAAGTGAATACGGTCTACTTTGATGGACCCCTTAAAACTCATTCTCACACAGCTGTGGTTATTTTAGAGCCTCACTAATGTAATTTATGTTTTATGCAGGAGTCATCGTCCCAAAGTTCAGCTGGAGAACTAAGTTCAAGTCAAGTTGAACTCAACCAAAACAGCAAGCCTTCCTCGCGCCATTCCTCGTGTTTAAGCCTTAACTCGGCCAAGGTTCACCCGGAAGTGACGTCAGAGAACTCTGCACCTACCCCTGTAGAAAGACCAAGCACTTCGGACTTCATTGTGTCAGATTCTGCGGAATCGCAGGGTACTCAACGTGAAAATGTGCGTAAAGTGTTGGCAGCTTCGAGAAGTGAAGGCTCACAAAGTGAGATACCAACGTACAGGATATACACCATGTCGGTATGTCGAATGAAGCTCAAGTAAACTGTTAGTGCTTCGTATTGTTCAAAACTCTCTTAGTATTTCTTACTGACTCTTTTGGATTTGTTTTAGTGTCACACAGGTGTTCTGGGCGGAGGTCATTACATTTCATATGCACACAACCCAAACAGCAAATGGTACTGTTATAATGACAGTAGCTGTAAGGTTAGTACTGGATCAACGTGTTTAATATAGCGGTCATACTGTTTTAAGGGTTTCTATCAAGTGGTGAACCTTTGTTAAGTGGTCAACTGACTATTTCTAGGTTTATTTTGGTTTGACTGTGAACCATTTTCACGTTGGCCTTACTTTACTACGACTAAAGCCTGGTGCAAACGGACGCAATATTGTTGGCCAATAACTCTCAACGTTGTTGGGAGTCGTTGCGTCCGTTTGCACGTAGCTAAAAGTTTGACCGGTTTCAAACTTTGCGCAACAACTCCCAACAACACGCCACAACATTCAACAGGGTGTGCAAACGGACGGAACATGTAACATCCATTTGCTCCGGGCTTTACATGTTGCGTCCGTTTGCACACCCCGTTGCATGTTGTTGAATGTAGTTGGGAGTTGTTGCGCAAAAGTTTGAAACTAGTCAAACGTTTAGTTACGTTTAAACCGACGCAACAACTCCCAATATTGTTGGGCGAATAATATTGGGAGTTATTGCGTCCGTTTGCGCGTACCTTTAGAAGGACACCTTTGAAACCGACAATAAGTATATCCGTGTATGTGCGTCTTATAGAGATTGAAATAAAGGTAGTGAAGATAGGCAGGAACCAACTCTACGTGTCCGTTAAGAAAGAGTTGACTTTATTACAACAGTTGTGGTGTATTATGGAGGTAACTAGTATAGGTTGATAATGTTTTCGTTTGCTTCTCTTGTTTCAGGAATGTGACAATACTAAGCTTCAAAAGGACTCGCCCTACATGTTATTCTATCAACAGGACGATCTGGAGGAAGGAATGTTTCTTCCCAACTTCAATGGTCAAACGCCTGACTCGGCCAGCGATGACGAAGAATATGAGAACGAAGTGCGTAGACTGTGCGTCGTTCAATGAAGATCTTTGGAGCCGGGGACGGGGGAAGAATCTTATAATTTATACACATTTTTTGTATTGAAATCTTCATTCAATGAATACTTACGCGAGCGTAAATTATCAGAAATGTTGTAAATATATCGACACGGAGAATTTTATTTTTAAATGCCTTTAATGCAGATGATGAAATTATTGCAGCAGTACATACAGGGTCGTGCTTCTTGTACAAGTAAAATTTAGAGTTAAGAGATGAGAGACATGGCAAACGGGACCAAAATGCGACTGAGTAGGGAGAGGATGTGTTTGTCGCCTCAGCCTCCCCTCCCCCATTGTCTTTAGCCCTTTACCTTGGTCTTGCAAGGGGGTACCCCATTTCGTACTCTCTCTGACAAGTATTTGTGTTCCGTGTGCTTTCTGTCCGTCATTTTTGTAAAACATTTTGTTGTTTATTGTCTTTATTCTTCATACTATGAAGTAGATGTGGCCCCTTTAAAGTACTTTAGACTTTAGTAATTTGTAATGTGAAAGATGAGGACTTCGCGCGCGAAGTTGCTGTACTTGAAAATATGCGAATCAGAATGGTGTCACGTTATTCTATGCGATCCAGGTACTTCTATTCTTGTTATCGTTGCTTCTTTTGATGTTTTTTCTTTTTGCGAAACGAAACGTTCACTTATGAGCTGTCGTTTAAGAAGGTG